CTAATCGAACCATCTAGTAGCTGGTTCCCTCCGAAGTTTCCCTCAGGATAGCTGGCACTCGTTTGTTCTTATTGAACGTAAACGAGTTTCATCTGATAAAGTGAATGATTAGAGGCCTTGGGGCCGAAACGACCTCAACCTATTCTCAAACTTTAAATGGGTGAGATCTCTGGCCTTTTTGAACTATGAAGCCACGAGAGATTTTGGATCAGAGTGCCAAGTGGGCCAATTTGCGTAAGCAGAACTAGCGCTGTGGGATGAACCAAACGCAAAGTTAGAGCGACTAAGGCGACGCTTATGGGATACCATGAAAGGCGTTGGTTGCTTAAGACAGCAGGACGGTGGCCATGGAAGTTGAAATCCGCTAAGGAGTGTGTAACAACTAACCTGCCAAAGCAACTAGCCCTAAAAATGGATGGCGCTGAAGCGTCGCGCCTATTCTCTGCCGTCAGCGGCAAGTGTGGTGGTTGGCCCGGGTTTACTCGGGCGCCGCTACGAAACCCTGACGAGTAGGAGGGTCGCGGCGGTGTGCGCAGAAGGGTCTGAGCGTGAGCCTGCCTGGAGCCGCCGTCGGTGCAGATCTTGGTGGTAGAAGCAAATACTCCCCCGAGGCCTTGGAGGACTGACGTGAAGAAAGGTTTCGTGTGAACAGCCGTTGCACACGAGTCAGTCGATCCTAAGCCCTAAGAGAAATCCTATGTCGATGATGGTGTGCAGACAAAATGTTGTTTTATTAATAACGACACACGTCCGTCGGGCGAAAGGAAATCCGGTTCCTATTCCGGAACCCAGCAGCGGAACCGCTTGCAAATCGGGCCCTCGTAAGAGAGTTCGTCGGGGTAACCCAAAATGACCAGGAGACGCCGTCGATAGATCCGGGAAGAGTTTTCTTTTCTGTATAAGCGTTTAAATTCCCTGGAAACCTCTAGCAGGGAGATAGGGTTTGGAACGCGAAGAGCACCGCAGTTGCGGCGGTGTCCGGATCTTCCCCTCGGACGTTGAAAAATTAGGAGAGGGCCACGTGGAGGTGTGGCGCCGTTTCGTATCCATATCCGCAGCGATCTCCAAGGTAAAGAGCCTCTAGTCGATAGACTAATGCAGGTAAGGGAAGTAAGCAAATTGGATCCGTAATTTCGGAATAAGGCCTCCCGCGGATCTTCCTTGCTGCGAGGCTTCCTTTCGGTTTATCCGTTACGGTCGTCCTGTTCGGCCGCCATTCAACGCTCAGCTCAGAACTGGCACGGACTAGGGGAATCCGACTGTCTAATTAAAACAAAGCATTGCGATGGCCCTCACATTTGGACACAATGTGATTTCTGCTTAGTGCTCTGAATGTCAACCTGAAGAAATTCAAGAAAGCGCGGGTAAATGGTGGGAGTAACTATGACTCTCTTAATTATGCCTAATATCTCSTCATCTATTTTATTACGAATTAGTGAGAGTCATAGATTAGCAAGCAGCGACCTCTTCGTGGTTCCCGCTAGGTAGTATCCTCCTAGTGAGGAGAAACCAACAGCTGCCTCTGCGTCTAACGGTCTTGGGGGTTGCCAGACCACTCGACCGATTACAGTTTGCACTATCGGACAAAACAAGCCTCGGATGGGATAAGCTTCCGGCGGGCCCTCAGGCTCGTCCGGCCCGACTGACTCACCAGGGGCTGTTGGTGTCCAACCTGTTCCCACTGCGCAACCTGACGAGTACCCTTGCTTGGTGCCCGGTTACAACAAGACTTTTGCTACCTCTCGTGGAAGAGGGGCGCACCTCAGCACCAACATAAAGACTGGAACGACCAACAACTGAGTTCCAAAATATCGAACGTAAAAGCTCCCTGGTCAGCTGAGGAGTCTGCTCTTCTAGCGCGAAGCGAGGCTCGCCTAAAAATTGCAGGCGAGAGATTTATAAATCAGGCTCTGCATGCTAGCCACCTCAATCGAACGTTAGAAGCCATAAAGGGGCATAGGCAGTATGCACACTATAAAGAGAGTGTAGAGAGAGCGCTCGAAGAATTAAGACGACTGGAAACAGCTTCTTTCCTTGCCCGTCCATCCAGCAATATAGTGGGGACCTGAGCAATATCTTTCTCACTGCCATATCGAATACGAACGATCTACCTGATACGGGCTGTAATATAGCTCACTTGAAACGAATATGCTGCCAGGCTAAAGACTTGAACAGAAATTCTCTACTGGAAGAGATCTCTCTATACGTTAGAGAGATCTTCCCAGCTCCACACAAATAGAGATGTCAGAGGATATCTACACACGAGGCAGTCTCCAGTCGAAAAAGGCGCCGAGCTGATTATGCTCGTGTGCAGCGTGCATGGGCTAAGAACCCATACAAAGCGCCTCGCTCCATCTTGAAGGGCAAGGAGGCTGCCGCCATGCCCGGCAAGGCGGTCATGGCTCCCTATTGGGAAGCAGTTTTTACCGCTTCGTGTGATAGTTCTCCTTCTCTGACTCAAGGAGACTCTACTCTGGAGGAACTGTGGAAGCCGATTGTAGCCGAAGAAGTCCGCGGAGCGTTTCCAGGAATGGGCTTATCAACTGGTCCGGACCTGATCACTGTGAGGCAGCTACGTGCTGTTCCAGTGGGTATCCTTTGCAAGGTCTATAACGTATTTATGGGCTGCGCGAAGATACCGGAATGGCTCCTTGAATCCAGGACGGTTTTTATCCCCAAGAAGGATAATGCTACCGAGCTTGGCGACTTGAGACCAATTACGGTCTCGTCGGTTTTGGCTCGGTCCTTCCACAAGGTACTTTCGACCCGCCTTGTACGTACTGTTCCTCTGGATCGAAAGCAGACAGCCTTCCTTCCTCTTGATGGATGTGCAGAGAACACCTTTAGCCTGGACTTGCTTCTCCGATACTATAGACGCCAATTTAAGCCCGTCCACCTGGCATCTATGGACATCGCGAAACCGTTTGCTTAAGTCTCTCACAAAGCTATTTTTGCATCGCTGAGGGCTCATGGAGTTCCTCAGTCGATGGTGGCTTACATCGAATACGTGTATGAAAACAGCTTCACTTATTTAGTTTGTGAAGGCGATCACTGAGAAGGATTCATCCGACGTGCGGAGTAAAGCAGGGCGACCCGCTTTCTCCCATGTTGTTTAACATCCTACTGGACAGATTGCTGTGTGGGATGCAAGCGCATATCGGTGTCGAGCTAGGCTCTTACCACTAAAATGGTTTGGCCTTTGCCGACGGTGTGATGTTCGTCGCCTCGACCGCTCAGGGGCTCCAACTGACACTCGACTATGCTCTTGACTATCTCTAGCAGTGCGGATTGAACGTTAACGCCGCCAAATCCTTCACAGTATCTATTCGAAATGTTCCGCACGTTAAGAAGTCTGCGGTAGACAGCAAAACACGTTTCAAGGTAGCTGATCGAATTTTGCCCGCCCTGAAAAGATCTGATGAATGGAAGTATTTGGGCGTTCCCTTTACGTCTGAGGGACGCTCATTGTGCAGACCAGAACACTAACTTATAGCTGCAATAAATAAGCTGACAAAGGCGCTACTGAAACCACAACAACGGTTTTTCGCACTTAGATGTCACGTGCTGCCAGGGGTATATCATCTTCTAACTCTTAGCTGCACGCTTCTTAGTACGCTTAAGAAGTTTGACATTCTGGTGCGAGGATCAGTGAGGAAATTGCTCGCACTGCCCCATGACGTGCCAAAAGCTTATTTTCACGCTAACGCGAAGGATGGCGTCTCTTCATTCCATTTTTACGATGGCTAATGCCCCTTCTTTGAATGAAGCGTCTGAGGGGACTGGTCATCGGAGGACAGTATCCGCCGACCTACATTTCGAACGAGGTGGGATTAGTCGAACGACGTTTAAGGGACGGCCCTTCAATCTTAGATTCTAAATACAAGATTGAGCGGCGTTGGGCGTTACTTCTACACTCATCAGTAGATGATAGATCATTGGCGAGCTCGAACGATGTCCCGCAACAAAATCAGTGGGTCATTGATGGAAACCGATTTCTCTCGAGTCGGGATTACATCAACACTGTCAAGTTAAAGAATAAATGCTCTGCCTACAAAATCTAGAAGCAACCGCGGAAAGATCGGTAGTAGACTCTGCAGAGCTGGCTGCAATGAGACAGAAACGACTAACCACATTGTGCAAATATGCCATCGAAAACATGGAGCACGAGTTTCTTGGCATAACGTTGTCGTCTCGTACATCAAACGTGCGATGGCGAAAAAATATGACACTGTGGAACAAGAACCGCAATTTTGAACGTCAGCGGGTCTCAGAAAGCCAGACCTCATTGGTATTAAAGGGTCTAAAGCTATCGTCGCGGATGCTCAGATTGTAGGAGAACAGAGCAACTTGACAGTGCCTCATGCTGGGAAAACAGATAAGTACGCTGGTTTAAAGGCGGATATCCAGGCGCGATATGGTGTGGAAGCTGTGTTATTCACATCGGTCACCCTATAATGTCGTTGATTATGAAGCTGTAAGAGCGTTGACGACCTCCTTCGAACGAACATCCTCAGGAGGTCCGAGCTTAAAGTAATTTCATCACGCGTTCTTGTTGGCGAGATGAATTGCTACAATACGTTCAGCCGATCAACCGCTGTACGGAGGGGATGCCTCCCAATATCAGGGATCAGGTAGTTCATTAATAGGTACTGGGTCGTAATTGGTGTTGCCTGCAATGCTCAGGTATAAAGTGCGATGGGGTTTTTAGTTGGTAAGGCCGGTGTAATCCGGTCAGCCCGACACTACCTGTACCAACACCTTCAGGAGTGCGCAAAGCATTTTACCCATCCTAAAAAAAAAAAAAAAAAGGAAAAGTGTGCTTTAGGGGAATCGTCTTGTTGGGTAGATGAGACCTCTAAATGATAATATTCTGCTTGCTGAAAAGCACAGCGATGTTGAGCGTTCTTTCACATATGTGCCCGTCGCCTTAAGTGATCGCGGACTTCGGTTCTCGAATTGCTCAGTGTGGAAAATTTATTTTTCACCCCGCACATATTGACTTCTTGCTAGATTTGCTGCTACGTCTACGGGACCTTCACTCTCCTATGGACTATAGGGCGCAGTAGTAAGCCCTGCGAGGGGATATATCATATGGGTAGTCGGCTCTTCCGGGATGAGATATCACGGGACGGCATAATGCCTTTATGACGAAGCTGCTGGTGGCGTTGGAGTGGCATTACGATGACCAGGCGTCAGAGTCTAGTAATGTGAAAGACATGGAGGTGTCTGAATAACATGGAAACCATGCCGTGCAGGGTAATTCGTGGATCGTTGTTCGATGAAATGGTGAGATTACCACATCAAGCCTTAAGAGACCATAGTTACGGGACGTGAAGCGCCTCTGATATCCTCTCACGTTCAAGTTGCACTCATTGCTCCCACGTGGCACTGCTGGAAACTTCCTATCAGGAAGGCTAAAATGGGACAGCGCCTCTACGGATAGCTTCGAGTCCGTAGGGTATAAACAAAAATATGGATATACGCTAAAAATATGGACGATGAAGCCTCGGACGAGAGCGAACAAGGCCCCACTCGTTTGTGACAGAATAAGGTGGCCACGGATAAAGACCACAACCGCGTACCGGAGCAGTACGTAGTAGAGTTGCCCTTCCAAAAAGTGTTATGCAAGATATGTCTCCACACAGGAAAGGGCAACTACATGGCACTGACGTTGGATAATTTGATATCGCACCTGAAAGAGCACAAAGCGAGTATTAAATATAAGTGCTTCAGGTGCGACAAGGAATATACAAGGAAGCATCTAGCGTAGTGCAATATTCCCAAGTGCACTGGGCCAACTCCCCACAACAGTAACAGGCATATGTGTTCTTAATGTGGGGAGATTTTTAAAATGAACTCCGGATTGTCACAGCACCAACGACACCGGAATCCAGCTGCCAGAAAGGAGGCCAGAGCAGCTGAAACCGCAAAAGGTAAGTAGGCACCAAAATATTGAAAAGTATTTACGA